CCCGGCCCGCTGCCTCCCCCGACCTCCCCCTCAGCTGACGATCCACGCGACCGTCAGCCCTTCCCCAGAGTCCCGCTCCCAGGGAGCCCGCCCGGCACGGCCGCCCCGGCAGTGTCCTGCCCCCCCGCTCACCCCCGGCCCGGCCCCTTCCCCCACGATGCAGCTCTCCTCCAGGCTCCTGCCATCCGCAGCGCTCAGCGAGGGCTTGTTCTTCCTTCCAGAGGGCGGAAACCCAGGTTCAGTAGCACGATCCCTGTGCGACCCCGCTGGAGACAGGCCCTCCGGAGGGGGATCCCCCCTTGCAGTCCCAATCCCACACTTGGCAGGTGGCCAGGTTTGAACCAATTTAATATGCGCCTGTTAATTAACTGTCTAATGAAAATGGTGCATGGCACCCAAAGGCCTGACAGCCTCCCACGAGAACCCTAATTACCAGCTGCTGTGATGTGCACAAGCAAAGCTGCCCCCTTTCAGTGTGTGGCGCGTCGCCCTCGCCCACCGCAGCACTGGCCGTGCACGTCGCTTGCCGTTTGCAATAGTCCAGCCGCCGGGTCCTTCCCCGGGCAGCGAGACGCACGGACCAGCAGCGTCAGCGGCCCCGCGAGCACTTCCGCCCACTCCTGAGAGTCACCCGCTGGCTGCCAGCTGGCGCTCCCCCAGGAGACTCGCCGCGGCTCCGGAGTGCAGCTCAGGCCCTGCGCTTCCTGCATCGCTCCTGGAAATTCTAGCACCGGGCACATCCCACCCGCAGGCTCCGTGTGTCTCACACCCGTCCCATCGCCTTCGCCCGGCCCCAAAGTCGCGACAGCTACTCCTGGCCTCGGCTTTCTCCCACAACAGGAACGCGGCACAACTGGCTGCCTGCAGCTCGCTCGTCTGGCCTGCCAGCCCCGTGCTGGTGTCGTACAGGCCTCTGCACAGTACAGATCCCCCGGTGACAGTCCTGCTAGGCCGGTGCCCTCCGCCCCCACGCACCCTTAGCCTAGGGGAGGGGCGGGCACATGGCCACTCTGCACGGCTGCTCGGCCCCGATGCGAGTCGCAGCTCTGTCCTGAGAACCGGGAAGCCCGCGGCCTCCTGCCCGCTGCACAGAACTCGGAGCAGGAGAGAATCGGGGTCTGGAATTTCCAACACCAGAAAACTCCTTTTCTCACAGGTGAGAAATCCCAGACGTCGGCCCAGACCGAGTCCATCCCGGCTCCGGCCGGCCCGGCCACACCCCGCACCCACCCC